AGCTCAAACACTGCAGTGCTGCTGCAGCTTTGGCAAAGCCCTCATCATTAACAAGATGTTTGTAGAGTCGATCCAAACCCAAAGTAGGTGCTGTCTAGGAACAGAGCAGCTCCCAGCCTGGCTGTTCTCCTGCCAAACAGGAGGCTCCCCAGCTGGGCAGGAGCAGTAGCCAAGTTGGCAACAAAAAACCCTCCTGCAAGACACTGAACTAATGTGGACCTGACTCTGCTGGTCCCCCAGAAAGGCCTAAGTGTGAGAACTAAATCCAGCCCTCAGAAATGTACTGAGAATGTTGGCTTTGCTTTCTTCCTCCTACACACAACACTCTTATTAAAAATGTAGCTGGTGTCCATACTGCTGGGATGGGAGGAGCAAATTTCCAGTGCAGTGTGAGAATCCTGGTTCATACAAAGCCGTTAACAAAGCCTCCACTTACTTCCAAGAGAGAAAGAAGTATCATGGGTCTCATGAATCTGCCCATGAGAAAAAACCAAATAAATTTAGATTTCTATCTGGTAGTAGAAGCGAGCAGAGCTTACACTAGAAATAAGAAAACATACCCAGGGGGTAATTAATGAAGATTATCAGGGATGGGAAGGTTTCTTTCTTGCTAAAAGGATTGGAATCAGTAATAGCTGGCTTTGTAAAACCACTAATTCACTCAGCCACTGAATACCAATGTAAGGCATAACATTGCTAAACATATTCATAATTATTAGAGTTTAAGATACAACAATAAAGTCCAAAGTTTGCTTCCTACAGCTGTTTTCAAGTTTGTATAAAGTGCTTATTGGAATAAAATAATTGCTAAATAGGCTTATTTGTGTATGAAGGTGGGGGTTTTTTTTCAGGTTTTTTTTAACATTTCAGATTTTTTAAAATTTCTCCCTAAACGTTTATTGCAACTTCTTACATGCAGCCAGCAGACAGATATCCTTAATACAATGATAAAGTAATTCTGTCTGTAATAAAACATTTATTTTCTACCCAAAATCAGTTAAGGAAAAGTTTGTACTAGTAAATTGTATAAGCTTTTGAGGATGAAGAAATGTAGGCAGTTATACTACAGATATTTTGCATGTTTTAGTACAAGCACCACCTGAAGAGTTCTGCAGCAAAATGATGACATCTCTTCTATTACCATCTCTGGATTTGATCCTCAAATTAAACCTTGAATTTTGCCCTTTTGTTTTTATTTTTAAATTAATAATTCACCAGGTTTATCTAGCTTACATACTAACTGGAATGTAAATAAGCAGCCAAAGATTGCTATTTTATATTGCTATTCCAAAGACAATAACATTTCAATTTATCTAGAAAAATAAGGGATTTTATGGCACAATAATGTGAACTGCAATGCCTCATTTAGAGAACAAATACATTGTTCTGGTAAAATATTGCAAAATTAACCTGGCTTACTGGATATTGATATTGTAGCATTATTGTTTGTGTGACAGGGAAAATCCCCACGAGCCACATCAGGCAACACCTGCAGAACAGCTGCACACTCATGGGGACAACAAGAACAAAGAGTTAGTAATCCACTGGGGGTTAAATTTAAAAGACAATATATATCCTACCACATTAAAACCCTCCACAAAACTCTATTCTGAGTTAAAACAGGCCTTCCAGATTAATGGATTTCTTTACTCAAAAATGGTTAGACTTGTTTATATCATCAAAGCAAATCTCCAATACAACCCCACCTTCAAGAATTCTTGAAGTCATGTCTCAAGGCAGAACTCTCTGAATTTTTCCAAACTTGAGCAGTTATAATACAGAAATCCAGTCATGATGAGTTATTAATGACCTACAAAGGAATTAGTGATGGTTGTAATTTTTAAACCCTTTTCTAATGGTGAACGTAGTATTTAGCACTTGGCCTAATATGCTGATTTATTTTTATATATCATTTTAATCAGGCTGATATCAAGATTCAAGAAAACATCAACCAAAATAGTGAAAAATAACGCATAGGGCAAGCTGTAAAATGTCAGTTATAACAACCAAATCATAACCATTCTTGTTTTCTGATTGTTCATCAAAGCTAAGAAACAAAAAAATCACATTGAATTGGCATCTCTTAAATTGCTTATGAAAATCCACATCTATTGACAGCTGCCTCTACCTCACTCCTTCAGCTCTAAAACTACTCCTGCACTTTTCCAGCACATTTGCCCTGTGCTCTATCCAGGAAAGCCACTACACACTTTACAATTTCTATCACAAAAACCACGGCTGGGTTTGAAGCAAGGAGGAGACAAACCACACACTGTCAGAAATTTCCATGGAGACTCTGTGAGCACAGTTTCCAAGGGCAAGTGTAATCTCCATCCCTGAAGTCTCATGTTAAAATTAGTTGTACAGGTTGGACAAATCAGGAACTGCACATCTGATAAAAATTCAGTCATACAATACAATGCTAGCTGTTCCAGGTAATCTCTACTCCATTTATCTGCTGGAGCAAGACAGCACCTTTTCTTCCTTTTGTGTGTGGATCTTTTACTTGTTCTGCTCCACATATATCAACCCCAAATATGAATTATTATAATACCTCATAGCTGATACTGAAGTTTTCCCTCCTCCAGAAGATTCCAGACTATAACTGTACACAAAGAAATGGTGCCCTGTCCTCCTAACCTTGTGCTCTGCAAAGAAAGGATCTATCTCCCTGTCAAACCTGTCTTTCCACAGTGAAGTTCACCTCATCTCCATGACCCCGAGCCACCAAACCTCCACAAGCAACAATGAAGCATCTGCTCTGCCTCTCATTTTGCCCCCTGCCAAACTGGACTCACCCCTCCCTAATGCCCAGCGCCTGCCACGAGTGTTACAAATAGCATTAATTAGGATCCTGCTTGCCCATTAACTCTTTCATTATTCATGTGACATTTATGATAAATGCCTGATATTACTCACAAATGGTCGAGGTGGCACTTACACACAGAAGTATAAACTTCAGAGTCATGGGAGAAATCATTTAGCAGCAAGGCAGGCTGACTATACCAGGGCTGACAACCACTTGCTGGTGTGAAAATTTAAATCTTTTAGTTCAACACAAAAGATAAAGTAGTTTGGCATTCCTAGAAGTGCAGGTGGACTTCTATTTCAACATTCTTTTGCATCACTGTAAATATCCCTAAAGAAGTTACTTTCTCCATCCAGCCAGGGTTGTGCACTGCATGTTGGCCATAAAACAGAAAAAAAATCCTGCCTTTCTCCAACAGAAAAGGCTCCTGTAACAGCCAAGTTGTCATTTCTCAGGATTATCATATCCTCTTAATTAAGTTGCAAAATTCAGAACAGAATAACCCCGATGAACATAAATTACACAGAAATGGATTTGATTTGCATGTAATAATGGCTTCTTTCAGAATTAATTACAAATATGCTGGAGTATGGATTAACGTCCTCCTGATTCAGCACTGTATGTGCATGTTTAGCTGCTCTTCTAAGCTAAGGCTAGGAATAAATTGTCTAGACAATTAATTTTAATTTTTCTCTCATTTGCCAAAAAAACCCCAGTAAAGCTTTGTGCAGAATCAGCTACCCAGGCTTCTTCCACCCCTTCAAAGATCTTAAAAAAAAAAAAATTCATGGGCATATTTTTCTTTCCATGAGGAATTAAATTGCACATTGTTCACCATCAATGCTATCTGTGCAATCTGCCAGCACAGACTCTTCATATTTCCTGTGGATTAAAAGCCTAAGAAGAAACCCACCTCCAAAAATAGAGCCTTGTTTCAGAACCCCACATAACAGAAACAGGGAGAGCTTTGGAAGGATCCCTGCCCAGGGATCGCAGCAGTTCCATTTGTAAGCTGGTCTCTAATGCTAAACGCTTCTTCTTGAGTAAACAAACAGCAAGGGAAATGTGCTTGAAGACAGAGATAAAAATGCATATCTATTTACTTTAGAAGCCTGCAAAACCTGGTCTTTCATGGCTACAGTGTGAGGAAGTGGCACAACTATTTAAATTTCAATCACCATGGGAGTTCAAGGCACACTCCAAAAAAAGCTGTATGTTGTACCCTCTCCTGTGTGCAAAAGCCAGCTCTGCAGAAATAAATATTGTAACACCAGAAGTATTTTACCAAACCATACATGAGCCTGAAGAACAACACATCTAGTAATGTAAAATCAATAGCTCTTACCAATCCATCCCAAAAGATTTATATTCAGTACCCAATTTCACAGAACCAGAGCATCCCTTTGTTGGTCATGAAGAGATTGTGGGGGGAAAGAGGAAGAAAAATCCCAAATCATGATTTTGCTGTAGACTTGCAAACCAGAGACCAGCAACACTCAAAAGGAGAGCCGACTTTTTAAACAAAACCTAAAACACCAACAAAAAAATCTGCCAAAATATCAAACATTAAGATATTTTTGGCATGAATGGAGTATTTAAATATACCCTTTTTATATTGCAGTATAAATTACTGCAATAACATTCTTTATTTTTTTTTTTTCTGTTTTGTATTTCAGTGTAGCATTGGAAAAATTCAATTTCAAGCCAAAGTAGTTTGCTTTATTCTCCACGGTTACTAAATGCCACTGGACCATGGCTATTTCTGAGTGCAGAAATAGTTGCATAAAAAGACATTAATTTTGGTTGCTCCTTAAAAATATTTAGAAGAAACCAGAACTGATAACCCAAAGTAAATATTGAATCTCATCTAAATTTCAATAACTGAAAGAAGACTGTGCCCTCCCAGATTACACCCTAAGAATACACCTCCCAGGTATCTCTGAGAGTGTATTCCCAAAGAACAAAAAGAACAACCAGAAAATTCCCAGCCAGCCTGACCATTGTTCTCTGTCACTGCTTTCTTGAATGCTGCATGAAGTTTTAAATTGATCAAGTGAAGCACATCACTGGTGTTAGCCCACAGAACTTGCTGCTCAGAGGCATCCCACACTTTTTCCAGAGTCAATTCTCCACCAGGAACATCACTCTTTCCCCAACACAGCACTGAGAATCAAATTTCAGGATCTCCTACCTCGATCAAAAAGTCTCCAGTTCTCAGGCCAGCTTGCCATGCTACTCCCCCTTCATCCACAGATTCCAAGTACTGCAAAGCAGGAAAGGCTGGAGTTGGGGTGAATTCTTCAATTGGTGTGTCAGCTTTAAAAATAAACACCACATTAAAAAAAGAAAATTATGGAGTGCTTGCAAATACCACTTGACTACAGGCCTATCATTGGCCATTCTGATTTAGGGTTAAAAAATGGTGGGTGCTGGAAGTGAGACTGATGTGCCTCACGGGAGCTCAGGATGCTGGGGACAGAGTGCAACCCCCTGCAACAGCAATCCACAGGTCTTCCTTCCCGAGGGGGAAATACCTGCTCCTTTCCTGACAAAAACCAAACCAAGCTGCACCAGACAATAGCTGGGTTCAGATATTCCAGGATATTCAGTATTGGCTCAAATAACCCTTTTGTGTGCCTGGCAGAATGCTGTAACTCTGGCAACATCCACCTAAAAATGAATTATGTGCTGGAGACAGGAGAGAACATCTGGCCAAACTAGGAGGCTGGGGTGGGTGGCAAAGGATGAAAACAAATCAACCAGAATTTTTTTTTTCCCTTCTAAATTTAGATGTGCATAACAAAGAAGAGACCAGAAGAAATCACTTTTTAGGACAGAAGGCACAGCTGGTCCTGTGACAGCCCTGCCTGCCCCTGTGTGTCATGTGCACAGACAGGCAGAAAAGTCCTTGGGTCTTTCACATGAGCTGCCCCCACTGCTACAGAGAAAATCTGGGGGAAACTGCTGGGCTCAGCCAGAGAGAGTGAGCCCTGCTCAAAGCACTGATAACCCACACCAATGCTCAGAGATAAGGCAGTGCCTTGGGCTTCCCTGCTTCAACTCCAAGCATTTCATTTGCCTAAAACTGGCAAAGCCTTCCCAGCCCTGCAAATCCACGGTGGCACCGGTTTAGGGGTGGGGAACAGGGAAAGCAAAAGCCATGTCCCAGCAATGAAGACATGGAATAATTTTCATGCTCAAGCAAGGCAAGGGAGAACCCATGTGATATAAGGGGGAGCAAGAGATGGGACATACCATCACACACATATATATTATTTTTTAAAATACAAAGGGAGCAAACTACACTGGAAGTTAAAAAGCAAAGTATTAAATAGAATGCCTTTTTTAACTCATAGGAATGCCACCGTGATTGATTTTAGCCTACGGAGAAGTGCTGTGCAGCTTAATATATGAACAGCTTGAAAAATGAGCACACTACAGGCCATGCAACATACGTGCAGCTTCTCAAGATACAAAAAAAGATCATATTTTCATACTAAAACTGCACCAATGTCACCTTGCAGAAGATCCACACCTATTTTAAACAAAACATCCCTCTCTTGTCTATTCCTATTCACAGCCCTATTTAATCAGGCTGGCATTTGAAATAAAGCAGCAGTTTTTATGAGGAAAGCAGGTTTCCCACAGTTAAGTAAACGGCACAACAGAACAGATTAATAGCAAAATACTACATCCACCAGCACGAGAAAAATACAGGCAAAACTTTCTCCCCCCAGAACGATTATGCAGTGCTTCTCCTATGTAAAAATGCAAACTGCTTCACAGAGAAGGCACCGAAATCCATCGGAGTAGTATAGCATACAGAGAATCTTGTTGTCTAGCAACCAAGTGCACCAAGAATAATTCCTGCTTATATTCCGAGATGTATAAATTTCTTCATGCTACTGCACATCACACACACACACTCACACACACAGAAGCACATACCTTTTGCCCCTCTGAGCACAAATCCAAATCCTTCATTGTCTTTTTTCTGCAGGACCACTGCCTTTTCTTCTATTATGCAGTCACTGTAGAGAGAATTCCGAGGATAGCGACCATTATTACATCCCTTCATCACCACTGTAGTAGCTGCTCCTCCAGTGTGCAGGTTCATCATCATCACAGCCCGTTAATCAAATAATATTGCAGTAACCAAGCATGGGAAAATATAGAACAAATAGCAGCAAGAGGAAGACAAAGACTAAGCTGGATGGTAAAAGAGAACATGACAAAGCAACTTAAAAGGAATAAAAAAGGCAGAGAGGAAAAAGAAAGAAGAAATCATGCATGGTGGTTTGTGTTCTGTATGAATGACTGGATGAACATGTGATCATGTAATCTGTGGGCTAGCTAGGACTCTAAAAGGAAAAAAAGTAAGTGAACTGAACGACAGTATCATTAATAAACTCCTCAATCGTGGATGTACCAGATGCATCTTCTAGTGAAGCCAAAATGAAACCAACCAGAAGAAAAATGAGGCAGCATTTTAAATTTAAAGATAATAAATTATGATTTTCTATTAGCTAACTAAAAGGCACAAATATATTCTGAAAGCTATGCCTTGCATCAAAAGCCCTTTTTCAATCCTATTGAATGTTGCATGCTGCAAGAATCCCACATGATCATCTGACAGCCTACAATGCTAACAACGTGCAGCTGCCTTGGCGTCATCAAGCACAAATTTCCACAGCATCAAGAATCTGCATAATTGAAATAGTAACAAGGCATGCACAAGCAGGAAAACACATTTTCTAAGGAATATTTCCTGTCTCCTGATAAACAATTAATATAATAAAACAAGGAGATGGTGTAAAGGACTATTTATGTAAGCAGTATTCCCTTAAAGAGAAAGTAGCCTTAGGAATCTCACTATCATTGGTTAAGATAGAAGTAGAAGGTAGATGAAGAAAATGCACAAAATGAACATTAAAATGGGACCTTTCAGATACAGGGAATGATCTGCAAAAGCCTGGTGTTCAATAGCTTTCATTAAACATGAAGTTACTAAAAATAAGCTCAAAGCAAAAAGAAAAAAAAGAAAAAAATTTTGAATCTCTTTTGGGTACCAAAGCATGGCACAGCACGAGTTGCAGGGGTTAAGTTCATGAATTGTCAGCACTGCAAATTTTGCTACTTTAAAATACCTACAGAACTAGTTCAGATAGAAAGAGTATGAGCAAGTTTGCTTTCCTTAATTTTTTACTAGCCAACTTCTGTTCCCACTGGTCTGGTACAGAATCCAGTCCCCAAAGCAGTGAATGCAAGGAGAGACTAGATCTGCCTCAGGGCCATTAATAATCCCCAGGGGGAGGAGGAAACTAAATAAAGAGAAATTGTTGTGACCTTTTTATTTAAAGCTCTGAACAAAGAGAGGGATGATGATATCAGAACACTAATGGACAGCCTCCAAACTCCAGATTTTTTGTGCATCACAGACCATCCTTTTGGTGCCTTTCCAACTCTGCGGGATGAAACTTCCTATGGCTGCTGAAGCGATGATCTAAGGTTGTCTTCCAAATTGCAGAGTGTTTAACACCACACATTAATTCAAACTGCCACAGTGGTGACTTTGTGGGCAAGAGATGGTCTCCATCAGCACCAACAGTTTTTGTATTCTCAACTTATTGTAATTTACTGTGTATTTCAGACATTTCCTGTTCTTACAGTTAAAAAAACTTCTGCTTCTTGAGAAAGCCCAACACCCTCCTGCTCAGGGATATCAGGATGGGATGGAATATGCATCTCTCAGAGCCCACTGCAGCTCTCCATCAACACCCTGATATTCCAGAAACTGACTGCTCCTGCCAGTGCATTGGCTTATTTCCCTCATTTCCCCACTACGTTCTCAAGGTGGGTCCCTGTGCTTATCCCACTGAAGAGTCAACAGTGTAATTTTTTTTAATACTTGGTCAAATTAATAAAACCTATTCCCTTCCAGTTCCATTATAGCCAATCAATAGCTTAATAGAGCTTAGACAGCAACTTCTGAGATCCTAATTATAGCAAGAGTTTGGTTCAAAGAACCCCCTCGTGTCCCCTCCCCAAATCCCACTCTCGTGTCAGTTCCATACAGAATTCAAGAATTCAGAAGTTTATCAGCTCAGGAAACTCAGGACCAATTCTCCTGTTCTACATCCAAAAAAAAAAAAAAAAAAAAAAAAAAAAAAAAAAAAAAAAAGGTACAGATTAAAGGTATAAAAACCACTTCTGATTTTCTTCTCATGTACAGCACATCTATTCAATAAACTACCCAGTGTTATGCTTCAGTTCATGTACTGAAAGTGGGGATGCAAAACTGACAACATTTAACAAAGTTACATGCAAGGGGGAGGTGAGAGGGAAGGGAGGGAGAAGCGCATGATTTTTTTGTGAGAAAACACACAAATTGATCTCTATTATTTGACAAATACAACTTTCTAATATACAGTGGCAGTTATAAAGAGAACAGCATTACAGCCTGGAAAGTAAAAAGACAGGCTTGAAAAAAACAGATGTGTAGCATTTCTTCTCAATTGTGTTCCCTGGGAGTAGGAAACCTGCAAAAATCCTATGGCTTGAGTAGCTCAAACTTGTTCAAGCAACCACAGAAAGCAAATTGATTCTCCCCAAACACCTCAGTGCTGCAGAGCAAGGAACCAGCAGCAGGGAAAGGGGGGCACAGAAGCACACAAAAATATTAACTGAATTTACAACCTGCACACCCTTTCTCCCAGAAAATTTGCATTCCCAAGAAAAGGGGGCAGAAGAGGGGCAGAGTTTAACCTCTGACTCTTGGCAGTGCTGCTTTTTGCTTGCTTTGCCACGCCAGGGCTCTCTGTGCCAGCCAGGGTGGACTCTCCACCAAAGGTCTGTTCCCAGGCCACCAGCTCCTGGCAGGCAAAATGGTGCCAAATGGAAAACTAGGTCAAAATTTCTCCCCATGAGCCTTCTTGGCAGCGTCTCTTTGATGCTGAAGGTGTTGTAAATACTTAGCAGCAGAACAGGCTAAGGCAACCAGTGACAAATGAAGGTGGCATTACATTAGGAGCCTGCTCAGAGGCCTGAGTTCAAGCAAGAAGAGGAATTTCTTCCCAGGCTCTTTCAGTACAATGCACAGCTCTGTGTGAGACCAAGCAGCCCCTGTTATCTGTGATATGCCAAATTTCAGCGGGTGAAATACCTGAAGTCCATTTCTGTCCCATCCCAAACCAAAATTAAACAGCTTCCATTTCAGAGACGAGTCCTCAGAATATGGCCAGTTCCATATGATGGCAATAAAATTAGTAATTCTAAAATCAATAGCTCATTATTGATATAGGCAAACACTGCTTTGACTTCGGGCTGTTTAAGGCCAAGATTCATTGCAGGCGAAGTTAAATGTAAAAGGCATCCTATCAAGTGCAGGACATTTCTGTGTGGAGCACAATCATAAAACTTCAGGTCAAAATAACAATCAATGTAAATCTCTGCTTTAGTCAAGCAGTAGATATTAGAAAACATGCTTGTTCATCAGCTCATGTAGTTTCCTTAACAACTTAAGGCTCAAGAGCTGTGCAGAGCTGTTACAATTTCCATAATTTTACAGACTGACCAATGGATAAAGGGTCAGACAGATATGTGAGTTTGCCCATGGTCAGACAGATACGTGAGTTTTGAACTCGGCACTGTTCCATACAACCACCACCATTTGTGTGGGCTTTTCTAAACAGCAGGAATTTCTGCTTTGCTAACAGCCCATTATGATGATATCTGAGGAAGGAAGGAGAAATGTCACGTCTTTCATAAAAACCTATATGAAGAAAATAAAGGTTGGAGTGCAGGTTCCTGCTGGAGGCACGCCCACAAAACCTGGCTTCCTGTTCTCATCAGGGATAACTACACCCTATCTTAAGGCATGACTTATTCCACAAGCTAAAATACTAAATTACAGAGGTGGAGACTATCAGGACTACAGGATGTGTTTAGGTAACTTTGTATCAAGTGTTCCATTGCTGATTTCAATCTGAAAAATAGCAAGTAGAGGACAATCCACTGAAAATTATCACCATTATCTGGAAACAAAAGTGGCTATTTGGTATATTGCCAGTCTCCCTCTAAGGCAGAGGAAAAAAAATGAATGTAAAATGGAATTATTCTCCTGATTCCCTGCAGTCATTCATCCCCTGGAAATATAACCCGACCTTTTCAGCTTCAGTAGCCCAGGAGTCCACTAGCCCTTCAGTAAGGACTTGCTCTCCCCTTGAGTGAGAAGTGGGCCTGGCTCTCTCCAGGTTCACTTCTTTCAGTTGGCCAAGTAAATCTAAGTCTCTTCATTAGCCCTTTTTCCTCTTCTCAGCACTCTTGCAATTGCAATCTTTTGAAAAGATCTACGGAGCTCACAACTAGATACATCCTAGAAGAATCAAGTGTTCTGCCAGGTGCAATAAAATGATATCTAAATCATTCTATAAATTTATATGCAATGTCTGGAAGCAGTCACACTAATTCCTTTCAGGATAAGATGGCCAATTTATGGTGGTTATGCTCAAGCCAGAGAAGGGCATTTGGGAAATCTGTTCAAGAGGAGGAACCCTTTGTACATTATCCAACCATCAATCTCTGTTAAAGGAACATCAAAATATTCTTTTCCTTTTTTCAGGAAGTAACCTATCCTGATACTACATAAAATGGAAATTATATCTACATCAAATCTTATTGTAGGATATTGCAAACTTTCAGTGGGAAAACATTTCCTGTTATTGCTGGAAGGGGTCAACCTTACAATTTATAGTCAACTACTCTAATGGCTTCAGGAAAATTGGCTAATCCTACTAATTAAGGCCTTCAAGATTAATGAAGACACTTTCTGTGATTGCTCAAGTTTCTCAGGCATCAATCATCCACTTTTAGGTCTCACAGAAGAGTTCCCACAGCTCTCCTGTGTCAGGCACAGCAGCAATCAGTTGCTCAAGAGGCAGCAGCTACAGCAGTGAGTGGGTTCTGTGCACAGCAGATAGGAAAACACACAGGCTGTCCCTAAATAACCCACTGGCAACCCAAACAGAAACAG